CACTTTCTTTTCTGTTTTGCAGCATGAGCATGGCAGTAGCTAGCATTTAAAGAAAACATTCCTGGTTTTGAGGTCTTTGGGTAGGCAACATAAAAGGAATAGACAAAATTCTGATGTGATTTCTGCTACTTGCTAGACCCTTGAACCTGATCTAGTCCTGGAATGCTCTAGAATTTTACGTTCCTTCCCTCTATCTTTGATCCCCAAGTATGCAAATCTCTGCTTAAAAGTCACTTATAACTGTGTATTTGTCAGTTGTCCCCCAATGTGTGTGGTGTGGTTGAAAACGATATTAAAATTCACCTGAAGTCCCATCTCGGCTCTTCAGGCCAAGAATTTAATTGTAAAAATCACGTAAACAGATAAATGACAGTGAGCACCCCTAACTTGCCTCTCAGACCTTGATCACAAGGACTCCCTCATTGTTTCTTGCCTTTCTCTCTCTCCTCCTCCTCCTAAACCACATAAAACTAAGGGGGAGACATGCCGTTTCCCTAGGGTTTTACCTAGAGATCACACCCAAGACGGTACGGTGGGGCAGGGGAGTAGGAAGGCGGGCCAATTGGGAGGGATGTGGGAGAAAGTACAACCAGTGTCCGTGTCCGAATCATCCTGCTCTCACTGCTGACTGGCCCTGTCAGTGTTCTCTAGAGGCCGAAGCCTACAGAGCCCTTAGATGGGTGAGCCAGGTCAGCCCAGGGGCAGGAGGCAAACAGAAGCTCATCAGAGACCGTTAGTAGGAAGATGGAGAATGGACCAGGAAGCCAGTCAGCGCCCTGCCTGTGGTGGCTGAGCTGGATAGAAATCGTCACCATATGACAAAATAATAATTTATAAAGTATCAAGGTTCATGAGGGAGGGGGGAGTGAGGAGGGAGGGGGAAAATGAGGAGCTGATGCCAGGGGCTTAAGTGGAGAGCAAATGTGTTGAGAATGACGAGGGCAGTGAATGTACAAATGTGCTTTACACAATTGATGTATGTGGGGATTGTGATAAGAGTTGTAGGAGCCCCTAATAAAAGGATTTTTTTTTTTAATGTGAAAAATGACCCTTGGTCTTTTCTCCCAAAGAATTCTTCCAGTCTCTGCCTCTGAGGAGGAGCACAGAGGAACACTTTAAATTGCCGCCTGTTTCTGATTACAGCGGAATATAGCACATCGGGACACGGCAACGGGATGGGTGCTCTCAGTGAGCGGTGCTTCCTGGAGAGCTACCCGGGTCAGCATTTCTCCCACTCACCACCCTACATTCCAACCCCGCACCCCACCCCAGAACAGGGCCACTCTGCTTTCTTCTGATTATAAGAAGGCTTCTATATAAGCTCTTATAAAAAAAAATCTACAACTAAGGTTTTAAAAACTGCTGCAGTCTAAATTCAAACCCTTTCATCACATGGATAAAGAGCCTGAGGCCCAAGGAGACCTAGCCTTGAACCTCAGTCCAATAAAGTACAAGATCATGAGGAAGTAGAAGTCAACAAGGGCCTGTGTAATAGCCCTCAGTTAACAGCCTATTTCCTATCACTGTGATAAGAAATCTCCGACATTATCTTTCATTGTTACGGTCAGTCAACCAGATAGAAAGAGAAATGTAAGAATCACTTGACTAATATTACACATCGACATAATTTTTGATGCAGTTGCTTTTGGTTAGGCGGGTGTTTTCCCAGACGCCAGGCATGTCCCCGCGAGTGACTACCAGTCATAGTTCACCCTGAACCCACCCGAGTGCCTTCGGAGCCTCGGGAGCGGAAACAGTGATGATGAGTTAGCATGCCCCGTTGCCATAGGAACGTTTGGAACACTCAAGCCCACTCAGAGGAGCCTCTGAGGAAAGGTCTGGGGACCCAATTCCAAGCGATCAGCCCCTGAAAAGTCTGGAGCACAGCTCTGCTGTGACACACGGGGTGCCAGGAGCCGGAATCTACTCGGTGCCAGACAAGCGCACTGCATGCCCCCCTCCAGCCTCAGCTCGTCCCCAACGCTCACGGTCATCAGGCCTCCAACAAGGTCACTGGTGTGAGGGTCTTCGTCTTTGGCTCCCAACTGCGGGGAGTACAGTTCCGTGGTCCGTAGAATTTCTAACACGCGATCCAAGGCTTCTGCAACCGTGACGGGGCTGTTTTCTTGGGCTGCATTGATTATGTTTATGACCTGAGGAAGGAGAGAAAAAGAATTCACTTGAGAAGAGCAGGCTTGTAGTTTCCCAACGTCTCACACATGCCAGGAGTCGTCACGACACGAGAGAACTGCACGTGGCATTGTTCAAAATCACCCGTTTTCACAACGCTGCTCCTTCCTACGGAAGCACCCTCCTCGGGGGCTTCTTCTCGCAGCCTCTTTCACTGCCCCCTTTCCCCGAGTTCTTTTAAAAAATGATCCTTTATCTGAAAGTTTATTGGCATATAATTCACAATTTAATCATTGGCAATTTAATCATTCAATCATATGATGAGTCTGCAATCTTCACAATCAATTTCAGAACATATTCTTCTCATATTCATTGCTATCAGCTACCCATTTCTCCCCTCACCCTCCTGCCAGGTCCCTGGGTAATTATTACTATTTTTTAGAGTAAAGTTTATTTATTTATTTATTTATGTTTGAAATGAACTTGTTTGTCACTGAAAACTCCAAGCTCATTTCAGTTTTCTTTTTAAAATCATTTTATAGGGGGATCGTACAACTCTTATCACAATCCATCCATCCATCCATGTGTCAAGCACTTTTGTACATTTGTTGCCATCATCATTCTCAAAACATTTGATTTCTACTTGAGCCTTTGGTATCAGCTCCTCAGTTTTTCCCCTCCCTTCCTTCCCCCACTACCTCATGAATCCTTATAAATTATTATTATTTTGTCATGTCTTATACTGTCTGATGTCTCCCTTCACCTACTTTTCTGTTGTCTGTCCCCCCAGGGAGGGGATTATATGTAGATTCTTGTGATCGGTTCCCTTTCTACCCCACCTTCCCTCCACCCTCCCAGTATCGCCACTCTCACCACTGGTCCTGAAGGGTTCATCTGTCCTGGATTCCCTGTGTTTCCAGTTCCTATCTGTACCAGTGTACATCCTCTGGTCTAGCCAGATTTGTAAGGTAGAATTGGGATCATGATAGTGGGGGAGGGGGGCATTTAAGAACTAGAGGAAAATTGTATGTTTCATCACTACACAGTTACTACACTGCACCCTGACTGACTTGTCTCCTCCCAGCGACCCTTCTGTATGGGGATGTCCAGTATCCTACAGATGGGCTTTAGGTCTCTACTATGCACTCCCCCTCATTCACAATGATATGATTTTTATTCTTTGATGCCTGCTATTTTATCCCATCTACACCTCATGATTACACAGGCTGGTGTGCTTCTTCCATGTGGGCTTTGTTGCCTTTAAGAACCCAGATGCTATATCTTTTGATAGCCCGGCACCATCAGCTTTCTTCACTACATTTGCTTATGTACCTGCTTTGTCTTCATTGATCGATTGTGTCAGGAAGGAGAGAATCACGGAATGCCAGTTTAATAGAACAAAGTGTTCTTGCATTGAGGGAGTACTTGAATGGAGGCCCAATGTCCACCTGCTACCTTAATACTAAACCTATAAATATATGCACATAGATCTATTTCCCCATAATCATGTATAAATATATTTACTAGGTAATTATTAATGCAGTTACCGTCTCTATAGATTTACCTATCCTGGGTTTCATATCCAGAAAATCATACAAGGCAAAAACAAGAATAACCATCCTCCTCTCCAAAAAAAAACAACAACAACAATGACAAAACAAAACAGAGAAAAACTTCCCCAAACAGAAAATATTAAAATCAAAAACAACTTTAAAGTGGATCAGAAAGGAGAACAAATGATAAGGTGTTACATTTTAGCCTAGCTACATCTTCCATCAGTGACTTTACAAAACTTGCTGTTGATAGCAAGGCTGTTCACCAGACTATGGTCAGAGGGGGTTCACTGGAGGGTTAGTCCACGTGGGAACCCTGCAAGTGGATTTGGGGCTTCCACCGTCATTGATAGCTTTCTTCAAGCTGGGTGTTCAGAATTTAAGCTCCGATACCATTCCCTCCTTCAGATTTGGGTTTTATGATTAGCAATCCTTGGATCACACAGGCTGGTGTGCTCCTTTCATATGGATTTAGTAGATGCCTCACTTAGATGGCTACTTATTTTAAGACAAGCCTTTAAGACCCAAGATGCTACTCTTTCTGAAAACTAGGCACCATCTGATTGTTTCCCACTGCACTGCGCGATAGCACTCATGTCTCCAATGACCTCTCTGAGTTCACTTGTTAAGGTTGGACTTCCTCGAAAACCAATCCTGGGCCTTCACTCACTCCACAGTCCTTCCTAGATGATCTCCTCCATGTCCACGAACAGCCCTGCTCAATCCCATGTCACCATCTCCCCCCCTCCCCCCTTAGCCCTCGATGTTCCCCAAAGTGCTCAAATGTCCGAAGGCCCTTTTTCTGCCTCAGTGGGTTTTCCATTTTGTGTTTCCTGCTGCTTGGACTGTAATATCTCTCATGTTTCAAGTCTACTTTAAAGACTACTTCTGCTACAGAGAAAGCTTCCCTGACCACCCGTCTCACTCTAAGACCGCTTCCCTCACTCACAGAATACTATCATTTCCCTTCAGAGCACTAATTCTAATTCATAACTGTTATGCTGATTTGTTTAATACCTGTTTCCTATACTAGACTATCAACTCTGTAATATCAATGCTATTTCATTTCTACCTCCAGCACCTCCCCCATTGCTAGGCAGCCCTGGGTGGAGGTGGAGGCAAGGGCATACGTTGCCACTCACCTTTGTGATGGGAGCTTCAATGGTCATGGAGTGGATCCTGGCCATGGATGGATAGCGCCGGTTCTGTAGGCTTGGTGCTAGAGAGAAGGCAAGGATGTTATATCTGGTTCTGGTGTCTCAACTTGTCTAAGTGCAGAAAGGGCATCCCTCTGTGGGAGGGGGCCCGGATTCTCTTAACACTACAAGAAACAAAGCTCATCCTCAGCTCCACAACCTTTACTACAGCCAGTCCGGAGACTTCCCCATTTCTGTGAATACTACTTATAATTTCCCAGGACCTACAAATAGAATGCTAAAATCATCTTTGCCGTTTTAGTCTCTCTGAAAATCCAATTGGTCACTGAGGCCTGAGTTGATGGAACTCAAGAACTGTGTGGCAAGTTTCTGCCTCGCAGGGTAGAGATGTTTTGCTAAATCCACGCTCCTAGCATTACCTGGGACAGATGATTGAGGGCAAGTAAGGGGGTGTGGCAGTGACCCGCTGCCATTGCCATCCAGTTGATGTTGGCTCACGGTGACCCTACAGGACAGGTCCTCTGCCACGCGTGAGGCTGCGACTCTTCCCAGGAGTAGAAAGCCCCGTGGTCAGGACGGAAACATGGGTGTCTGTTGGAAGGTTGGGAAGCCAGGACGCTGGTGCCCATTCTGTCCCAGCAACCAAGAGTCACCTTGGACAAACAACTTCAACTTGGGTGGGTGTGTGACCAAAGGAACCAGCGTGGGACACATTCAAAGAGAAGACAAAGGCTATGCAGAGCATCGCAGAGTTAAATAACCCACAACAACTACACTAACATATTTTCCGAAGGGAATAAAAACAGCCAGTTTGGTTGAAACCCTATTCCTTGCAGTTTCCATACGGATGCATTCTGGGGTACAGTCCTCGTCCATGTGCAGACTTGGAAAAGGTCAGAGAAATCTGAAAAGCCTCTTACCGTCGCTGCCCCGGGAGGATATGGATTTCACGTCAATGGACTCTTTCCTCCTGCTCTTGTATCTGAATGAGTGAGACTCTGAGGGTGTGAGAGGAGAGAGAGGGGTGACTCGTTTTCAGCACCATGCCCAGGCGATGACCAGAGACTCCCCGCTCCCCCGTTCTCTAAGGACAACAAACTTAACTTTTTAAGCACCGTACAATAATCACAAAAATGGTAAACGGCGTTCTGTTTATCTCGACGCACAGACCTATCCGTCGTCGCTGTGAAGAATGAGGCCTGGGGCTGTGGCATCGCACGACGTCACCCGAATGGAGCTTATCATCAGAGGTGATTTAGTTCCACGAACAAAATATTGTTATGAAAGCAAACATTACAACTTAGGGGAACTTTTTTTCTCTCATATTTTTAAAAATTAATTAATTAATTTTTAAATCAATTTATTGGGGCTCATACAATTCATCACAATACATAGATCAATTGTATAAAACACATCTATACATTTGTTGCCCTCATTATTCCCAAAATTCGCTTGCCTCTTGGGTTCCCGGAATCAGCTCATTTTCCTTTTCTTCCCCCTCCCCTTTCCCTTCCTCCTCCCCTCTCCCCCATGCGCCCTTAATAATTTATAAATTATTATTGCATCTTATATTACACTGTCTGGCGTCTCCCTTCACCCACCCTTCTGCTGCCCGTTCCCCAGAGAGGAGGTTATATGTAGCTCCCTGTGATCCATTCCTCCTTTCTTCACCCCCTTTCCCTCCTGGTATCGCCACTGTCACCCCTGGTCCTGAGAGGTTCATCTGTCCTAGATTCCCTGTGTTTCTAATTCCCATCTGTCCCGCTGTGCATCATCTGGTCTAACCAGGTCTGCAAGGCAGAATTGGGGTCCTGGTAGTTGGGGGGAGGAAGCGTTTAAGAACCAGAGGAAGGTTGTGGGTTTCATTATTGCTATACTGTACCCTAAGTGACTCATCTCCCCACTACCCCTCTGGAAGGTATGTCCAATTGTCTAGAGGTGGGCATTGGGTCCCCATCACGCGCCACCCTCATTGATGAGGATATGATTCCCCCTCCCCACCTTTAGTGTTTAAAGCCTGGTCCCTTTGGCCCTTCATGATCACACATGTTGGTGTGCTGCTTCCATGTGGGCTTTATTACTTCTGGGCTAGATGGCCGCTTGTTTACTTTCAAGCCTTTAAGGTCCCAGACGCTATAGGTCTTGATAGCCGGGCACCATCAGCCTTCTTCACCACACTTACTTATGCACACATTCGTCTTCAGCGTTTATGTGTGGAAGGTGGTCACACAATGATGGTTTTTGTTCTTTGGTGTCTGCTGCCTGTTTCCTTCAACACTTCGTGTTCGCACAGGCTCGTGTGCTCTTCTCTGTGGACTTTGTTATTTCCGAGCTAGATGGCCGCTTGTTTGCCTACAAGCCTTTTAGACCCTAGATGCTATATCTTTTGATAGCCGGGCACCATCAGCTTTCTTCACCACATTTTCTTATGCACACATCTTAGGGGAACTTTTAAAAAAATTTTTACCTTAGCGATAGTGTTAACTTGCTGCTAGGCTGCAAACCAACACAGTTTTGTTGGGTTTCTAAAGTAATTTTCCAATTGAAAAGCTTAAGCATCTTCTAACCCAGCGGTTCTCAACCTGTGGGTTGTGACCCCTTTGGGGGCGAACGACCCTTTCACAGGGGTCACCCAATGCATAGCAGTGGCAAAATTGCAGTTATGAAGTAGCAACGAAAATAACGCTATGGTTGGGGGTGACCACAGCCTGAGGAACTGGATGAAGGGTCGAGGCGTGAGGAAGGCGGAGAACCGCTGGCCAGAGCTGGGTTCTGTTTGTTTCTTCTTTCGGTCCCTTTTGACCCAAAGCACAGCCCCTTCAGTTGGGCACTGAAGATCCTTATGGGGTTATGTGAGGAGGTAAAATACCAGCGAGCGCCAGAGACACTGGGGGTCTCATTTGAGCAACAGATCCAGGCCCATTTGGGGACCCTCGGGACCGTCTGAGGTTGAGGGAACCGAGGTCCTCCCCGCCTGGGACTTCATCAGATGACACACCTCGCTGATCACAAGAAGCGAGGGAACAGCACGCAGCATCCTATGCTGCTCCCCACCCCCGCCCCCATTTCCACTAGCTACATAAACTCTCACCCCTGTCCCCACTTTTTTCAGGGAAGAAAAAGCCCTTCAAAAGGGATTCTGCGCAGGAAGGGAGGGGAAAAAATGAGGAGCTGACACCAAGGGTTCAAGTAGAAAGCAAATGTTTGGAGAATGATGATGGCAACAAATGTACAAAGGTGCTTGACACAATGGATGGATGTGTGGCTTGTGATAAGAGTTGTACGAGGCCGCCCAAAATGATTAAATAAACAAAATAAAAACAAAGGGATTCTGCATCAGTTTTGCTGACTTTGAACGATAACTCCCAAACTCTGCTGCCACCTGAGAACAAGGTCTAAGTGTCCGCCATCAGCGGGACCCGTGAACGCTGTCGGGGCCTCAGTGTCAGCATCCGCAGCAGGCACCTGCAGGCCACTTGCTCTCTGAGGGAGCACCCGGGAGCAAGCGGAGAAATCTCAACTGCAACCCCTCAGGGCGCTGAGCTTGGGGGCAAGGCAGGCAGGCATCGTCCACAGCAGCAGGTGGTCATACTCCCCGGAAGACAAAGGCAGGAATGCTTTAGGAATGCTCCAGTGTGCCAAGAAAGCCGCACTGGCAAGGGAACCGAGTCCAGGGCCAAACTGTGAAAGTTCAACTGTGCAGTGTGCCAACGAGAATCTGTGGATCTGACTGTCTCTCTGGCTCGGTCCTCACCACTGTCAAACGGGCTCATCATGAGAGCATTCAAGTCGGAGCGAAGTTAGGAGAAGTGAGTGAGTTCACACACATACTGAGTATCTAGCACGTGTGTTAGGACTGTTATACAGCGAACCCTCGTTTATCGCGGTTAATCGGTTCTAGACCCGATCGTGATAAATGAAATTCCGCGAAGTAAGATTCCTTGTTTGTAAATCAAATATTTTCGTAGTTAGAGCATAGAGGACATGAAAAAACACCCTTTAGTCACCATTACACTCTTATTACCCAAAAGCAAAAATGCATCTGATACGTAGCTACGATACGTAGCAATGCAGACAGAAGCGTGTACAGTATGAGCCAATCAGTGGCAGTAATGACAGAGCATGCGCTGTTACGCAAAAACCGCGATAGAGTGAAGCCGCGGAAGTCGAAGCGCGAAGTGGTGAGGGTTCACTGTATAGTGCATTTGCGCATACATGTCTTCTTTTTAGATGGTCATGGGATTATGTTGTATTGTTCTGCTACTTGCTTTTTACTTTTTTGTTTTTGTTTTTACTTTATAATGTCTTAGGCATTTTTCTACATCACCTCATAACCATTTATTTTAGTTTGGCATTAAAACATCGATTCTGTAAAGAAAGGTTCAATTAATGACTATACATGAATTCTATTTATACAGCAGGCTGTTCTGGGAGAAGTTTTATAAAATTAATTGGAATGCTGTAGCCATAGAGCCTCATCCTAAATGATCTAACAACATTTATGACCCTTCTGCCTAGTTATTTTCTTCCAGCTTCGGCCTAATGATGTTCTTGACCTTGCCTGTGTTCTGAGCATTTCCGTGGAGAGTCATCCAGGGCTGTCAGGACTTCAGATGATATTGCTGGATCTTAAGCCCCTTTCAAGCCCTGAGGAATTAAACATTGGTTTCTAGCCAACCCGGGTACGAGTGAAAGCGAAGTCTTCTCACCTGTCTGAGAATTGTCTCCCGAGTCACGATGAATCTTGTGAATCTACAGTAGTTCAAAGTTTGGTAAAACAAGAGAGACAGAGTTTAAATGCAGCATTAGCTAGATTCCAGACAAACAACTTAGTTAAAAAAAAAAATCTGAAGGCTTTAAGAAGGCAAGAATTTTCACAGATATTAAGAAATGGAAGATGTGCAATCAGTGATATTGCTAGCACCACTCTATGGCTGTCAGGGACTTCCAGAATGGCCCAAGCCCTAGGACAGGAAGGCACACAGGGGACGAACTTTCCAAGCTGGGTATCTACCCCCCTCCCCACAACCCCAGTCAGCTATTCTCATTTTGACAGTCTGCAAAAATAAAGACAAAAGCGTTAACTAAGTTTAAAAAGTAATATATAACCTGTATCGATAGTGAAAGCTTCATGTTTTAGACATGTTATGACCGTTTCCTGCAATGTCAAAGTTAGCCCCAACTCAAGCCCAAGCTTAGAAAAAGCTTCCTAAGAAGTTCTCCAAGTGCCCATCGAGTATAGCCCGATGGCTGTTGGATTGCTTCCGACTCAGACCACCCCTTCAGGGCCAAGTGGAAGGCCTCGTTGGGTTCCCAAGGCCGCAGGTCTGGGGCAGCAGACTGCACACCTTCCTCCTGCCGGGTGGTCAGTGAGCTCCAACTGCCCACCTTTCGGCTGGCGGCCAAGTGGCTCACCCACCGCCCTGCAGGGCTCCTTCTGCACAGTCTGCAGAGCCCCTCGATGAAATGTTCCTTCCTAATGATTACCCTGCCCGTGACTCCCTCAACTACTGCATCTGAACTCGAGATACGGTGAACACGCAGTGCTTTCTCATGATCAGATTTCCCCATGTTAATGATTTTGTGCTAAGGTTCGATCGCTGTCTGTTGAATGATGAGCTGAAGTCATTAACACTAGAAATATGCTTTCGGTCGAGGTTGACACTTCCTGGGTTCATGACTAAGACACTGTTCTGGAGGCGCAGTTAGCTCAGCCACACTTCGAATCAGGCTGCTTCACTGCCCGTGCACCGACTTCCGTTACTCCCCCGAGCACGGGATGGGCGAGTTACTTGGAAAACAAGACAGAGGAGTGACGAAGGACGGGTCCTGCAGCTCAGTCACATCAACTCTGATAGCCGGAAATCCCCCAAAGGTCAGAAACAGGCAAAACGTCCAGCTTAGCCCAGCCCTTGATAACTCAAGTGCGAACTCAGGAGTTCTCTCCGGATTCTTCATGCTGAAACCAGGACGTGAACAACCTGTGGGACAGTCTTGCCATAATCTGACTAATGGCTGTGACTCACTTATTCCACCATCACGGGGCGTTTTTTATTTCTTCTGTGAACAAATGATTTACGTTATGTTTTTTCCTTTAAAGGAGAAAGCCCATTTGCTGTTAAGCATCTGAACACAGTAGGAGTTTTGATGCTAGACTGAATGACTAAAACTCTGCCTTGCAAATTGCTTCCTCCAGCAAGAGCAAGTCATCTTTCGATCCTTGATTTTTCTCTCTGAATTACAATGCATCTCACCCAGAGCCACCAAGTCCCATGACTCCCTAGATGACCCTTCTCCTCTGTCATTAGCTCCCACAGGCTGGCTGATGAACTATGGGCTCCTGAGCCCCCACCCCGGTGGGCTTCGGGTCCCGTCTGGAGCGGAGACAGATGGGTCCAGTGGGCACAGAGGCAAATAGAGCCTTTAGGAAGGAAATGTGTCCTTGCCCCCGAGGGATGGGGAAGTGGAGGCAAGAGGAAGAAGGGAGATGGCAGGCCCCATCTCTTTCTCCACAGATGATACTATCCTGGGATTTTCTGAGCTGAAAATGCTGCCCCTCCTCAAAGTCCCCACCACCCTCAGATGGGCGCGTCTGCCTCTGCTGGCCTTTCTCCACCAGCACGCTGAGCCTGCAGAGGCTCCCCAGCCGGCACCTGCTATACAAGCTGAGTTTTGTTTTGTTGGGGTTTTTTTTT